AGGTGTTCAGAATGGTTTGATCCCTATTCAGCTGAATTCCTGAGACCAGACGAAATCCAGGTCTCCTACTCCTCCGCCATCTTGCTCCGCCTCACCTCTATTATTTTTTTTAAAGATTTTATTTATTTATTTGACAGAGAACACAAAAAGCGGGGGGAGTGGCAAGCAGAGGGACAGGCTTCCCGCTGAGCAGGGAGCCCAATGGGGGACTTGATCCCAGGACCCTAGGATCATGACCTGAGCTGAAGGTAGACGCTTAATCGACTGAGCCGCCCAAGCGCCCTTGTTACTTCTTCTTAATATAATCATGATAATTTGATTTTTTTAAAAACTTACTCACTTTAACATGAAAAATAGATATTTATGTGTAGTTGTTGAATACAGAATTGGATGAAAGCAATAAAATAATGTCTGAAGTCTTTTCAAGTAATAGAGTTTGAGAAATACATGTCAGGACTCTTGTTTTACTCATTGAAAACATCAGCCTAATGGCGATTCACATCCATCAAAGTTAATCTGCTTACCTGCCATCATATTCTACTTGGCTATTAAACTTTCACTTTTCACATTTGTGGTAATTTCCACACCTTCCTGTATTCATATTAGATGCTTATAGTACAGCATCTTTACTTTAAAAGTTTAGGAGATAATTTGAAAATACTTTCTGTGGGTGATACTTCTTTAAAAAGTATAATGGTAAATATTACGACTTTGGAATGAATGTAGATGACAAACTTCCTTTAGGAAGATAAATCTTAAATTCATTTTTTTAAAAACCACACTCAGTTTGCAGTTAAAGGTGGTAAATGTTTAATATGTGGGAAATGTTGCAAGTAGCAGAGGCTGGTTTACACAGAACTTTCTGTATATATTCTTCCAGGTGGAGCTACTGCATAAGTTAAAAAACTTCCAGGATTCTAATCACTATCTACTAAAATTTCAAATTTGAGGCATAGTATGTTTATACCAAAAGAACAAAGCTGAAACTCCGTATGGACTTATCTAATTGAATCAACTTCACAATATCCACTATTTCACAGTGAGAGTTGTTCTACATTGTTATTCTAAGTCACATCATCAATTTTCTAAAGCTACATCATGACTTAGCTTTAGTTTAAAAAAGTGAAGTAGTATATAGCAGTAGTTGAAACTCTGCTTCTTAACTCATAACTTGTCAGCATTTCAATTATTAGAACTTACATCCTATTTTCTTAGCCATACTATTAAAATATATTATTTTGATCATAAAGGTAATTGTGTACCTGTTCTTACCTCACTCCCTAAGGTTTCTGCCATAACTTGTTTAGTCATTTCCTTGTTTGGGCATTTTCTTTTGACCATAATAGATTTGTATGTTATTTTGAATAATTAGCTTTGAAGAAAAAAGATACAATTATGGGAAGATGGAGAAGTAGATGGAGTCTTAGGATTCATAGAGTGACAGCGTATAAGGACCTGAGGAGTTGACAAAACTAATGATTTATTCCTTATCTCATTCAAAAGTGATGGCAGGTTATTCCTGGAGAACTGCCAAAATTGAAAAGAGGAGAGGAAAGCAGGAGTGTGGGGTGGAGGCATGGAGGGGAGGGGAGGCGCAGGGAGGTGGGAGGGGGGAGAGAACTGAAGATTGTGGGTGGCATTAGTCGAGTTATGAGCTAGACAGGATATGTTATGTTGATAGGTTCTGGAAAGCCCCAGAGAGAAGATGCTGCAGGAAGAGATATTAGGGCTTACAGTATTCTCTACACTCCACGAAAACACTTTGGGGACAAGGCAATCTTTTTGCTATTTGGGGCCTTTTAGGTGTATGGGGGAAAAGGAAGAAAGTATGTAACTAGTTAATTATATCGACAGGGAATGTGTAAATCAGATGTTCACACCTTAAAAAAGAGCACTGATTATGCTTTCATGCTGCATGAGGAGCACCTTCATAATGGTATGAAAATACCAATGTACTAGGCATACTTAACATTTTCATCTTCGTGTATTCTGCCTTCCTGTGTATAGGCCTCCCTGCTAGGATTTGAAAAGTAGAGATGATGGGATCCAAGTGTGCCATGTCAAAATGTATCAGTTATCATGGATACTTTGAAAATAAAGGACTAACAAATATTAATTAGTTTGATTTGAGGGATCAGTCTAAGATTTTTGTCATTTATAACCTTCAATTTGTTTCTTTCAATAAGTTTCATAGGAGAATTTACAAAGGAATCCCACTCCAGCTTAGAGGTGAAGTCTGGGCTCTGCTTCTGGAGATCCCTAAAATGAAAGAAGAAACAAGAGGCCTTTATAGTGTGAGTATTTAAAGCTAACTTGTTATTTTGAAATTGAAAAGTAAAACCTATTTCTTTTCACTTTCAAGGTGATGTAAGATACTCATATCATTTGAAGTTATATTAACATGATACTACATTGAGTTGTATAAGCCTATCATTTTCTTGATTGTTTGGTTTAGTGCAATCTACTTCCTAACTTGTGAACAAATACTTCAGGGAAAATGTTATTTTTTGTATCAGTCAGTAAGTATCCAGTGCTTTTCACATATTTGAAATGAACAGTGTTGGGGCGTATTTGTGAGGAAAATTGACTAACACCTGATTGTAACTGCTCATTTGCAGTGTAGTGTTAATAAAGAGATCTACAGTGTCCTTTCTAGACTTTGTAGGAAAACAGCAGTGGGATTCAGTTTATCCAGCAGCTGCCTGTGTGTGCCTGACTATTTTCTTCCAGGTGTGAGAAAAGAATTTTTCTCCAAGACTAGTAGGTATCTCTAGGTTTTGTTATTTGTTAATCAAAAGTCAAACTTTTGACTCAGTGATCCATAGTGCTTTCCTTAAATTAGTTAATACATTACATTTACCTCCTTGTCATCTCAGCTATACCCTTTCTAAACCTAAAGTTTATATTAACCTTTGAAAGGAATGATTATCTAAAAATCTTTTTGAAATATGTTCCTCAGAAAATGTATATAAATAGAATAAAATGGATAAAAGAACAATTATTTATAATTTAAACCCAATACCAATTATAAAAGGAGCTTTGGAATACTCTTGATATTTTCTTTTCTTTTTCACATAATGTGTTTGTGTGTGTATGTTATATTGTATCAAGATGAAAGATAATAAATACTGGTTAATTTGAAGAGTTACTTTTTGTGTGTCTAAAAGATTTTTTAAATTAGCTGTTTGGGCCCTACACAGACTATGAATTTATGTCTTAGGGTTTTAGAGTTTCAAATTATTTTAGTCTGTTGATTAGATATTTGCTTGTAGTATCATAGTTTTAGAGCCAGTATTGAAAATGGTGTCTGAGAAAACGTATAAAATCTAGCCCCAGCACCTAGTACAGCGTGCCGGCGTATGGTAGGTGCTCATTAAATTCTTGCTTAATTAATGAGAGGAGACAGTTACTTTTCTTTAGCATGCGGTCTTTGTTTCCTCGGGCTGCCATGAGGTGCCACAAATGGAGTGGCTCCAGACAGCAGCAGTGTCTTCTCTCACACCTCTGGAGGCTAGGGGTCTGATGCCAGGGTGTCCGCAGGACCCTGGTTTGTCTCAAGGCTCGGGGGAGAGTCTTTCCTCGCCCCTTCCTGGCTTCGGGCATTGCCGACGCCATTCCTGGGTTTGCAGCTGCCTCAGTCTGCCCTCTGCTTCCCTCCTCACACGGCCTTCTCCCTGTGTGTGTCTGTGTGTCTGTGTGTCTGACCTGATAAGGACGCCAGTTACTGGACTTGGGGTCCACGCTAATCCAGCATGATGTCGTCTTCACTCAGTTACATCTGCAAAGACCCTATTTCCAAATCAGGTCCATTCACAGGTTCTGGGTAGATGTGAGTTTGGAGAAGGGGCACTATTCAATCCAGCACACATTCTAATAGCAGAACTGTGCTTTCAACAATCTTTTAGACCTTTTCTACAGAGAATAAAATGATCCGGGCACTGGTTAACATGAGAGATCCATTTAGCAAATGCCAGGCATACAAATAACAACAACGAAAGAAATGACTTGCCTTCCAGTACTTTCAAGGTTATTTTTTCTAATACTATGATGAAAAAAAAAATTTTTTTTTTTTTAATTCTTTGAGTTTTCCCGGCACCATTAGTTGATGGTCCTTTCCCACTCTTTCTTTCTCTCTCCAAAGATGGTATGAGTTGCTCCCTTCAGGTTGGAACTTCAAGAGGAATAGAACTATTAAGATGTTTCTCTGGTGGCTGAGACTTCCTGATGCCTGAGCTGGTGCCCTCATCTGCCTCTTCCTCCTGTTCTTTTAGGTGTACCTCAGTGTCATTTGTCTCTCTTGTGTGTCGTGCTAGATCTCACAGATGGCAGGAGTTCAGTCCGTCATGGTTAACAGCCTCACCTATAGCCTTCCTGGGGCCTCATAATCTTGTTGGCCAAACATACCGCAATGTTGTGGATCTTTCATACAGTTGCTTTCCACTGTACCTCCGCTTCAGGTTTATAGGTTCATTAGATCCTGTTTCTTTTAGATAAAATGTATATTCTTGTATTATTGTGACACTGAGGGGTCTCAACCCACCCAATCTCAGAGATAACTGTAGAAGCTGCTTTACCTCCTTGCACTAAGATAGGAAATATGCTTGATTTCCTGTATTCTGTTCACTCGTTTGTAAATATTCTAGGACATAATCTTTCTGACCTACTATTTTTTACCTACTAACTGAAATTTGTTTCTGTCTTGAGGCCTTTTTATGTTGGATTTTCTTTTCCTCTAGAGAAACTGATACTACAGATGTATTTGGGTGATTTTCTGCCTTTGAACTAAATTTTATTGTAAAGCACATTTTATCATGTCCTGTCAAACATTTTCTTTCTGTGTTTTGACATCTCATTTTTTTACCAGGAGACCTGTACAACAATCACTGAAACCTCTTTACTTGCCCATTACCTTTAAAAAAAAAAAAAAAAGAATATGAACAGATTACCATTTTTAAACTAAATTTTGGTAATATCTTCTGGATCAACTTTTATCAGGGATAGTGTACAGTAATATTTTAGTGGTCATGTGATTTTAATACAATACTATAAATATCTTCCTGTGTATTTAGGACTCTGAAGTATACTCTTGTTACTCTTCATGATTTTAAAAGCTACAGAAGCTGCCCTTGTCTGAGCTCCCACCTCAAAACGTAGTACATGTAGTCACAAAACACTTGACACATACACACATATTCCAGATAGCCTACTTCTTTCTACTTTTAGCTGAAGTCAGGAATTAGCAGTTATATTTTCATATGTATTTATTGGAGTTGATTCAGGCAGAGATCTGTATCACCAGTACATGGTAAACGAGTTAGTATAATATATGTATATAAATGCGTAATTATACATTAGTGTGGTTAAGTATAGATTAATATAAATTTTAATCTCTTACCTAGTTCAACTTGGGAGATTAAATATCCTCACTCAGCTCCCTTATCCCAAAATGCCATGAAACTGACAGCAGGGAGTTTTTGTAAAGGCAAAAGCCCACAAGGAGTAAGAAACAGGAGAGAGAGTGGCTGCCAGTGTCTGGAAACCAGACATACATTTACTAAACTCAGCAAACCCGAGAAAATGGAAGCCCGGGCTGGCTGATTTCGATCTCAGAATCTCCAGAAGGCTTGCTAATTGTCAACTGCAGGTGCCTCTGGGAGTGGAGGTGAAGCTCAGAATTGTGGAAGTGGTCCAGAGTCCGTCACAGAAGCAGTTAGAGCCTCAACATTCCCCTCCCACCCTGGCCACAAGTCCAAGGTTTACCATTTGGAGAGAATGAACCGGAGGGCCTCTGGACCAGAGAGGACCCAGATGGTCCTGGGGGGTGGGGGTGGGGGTTGCGGAGAGATGGCACAGAGGAACTGCATATCCTGAGCTGGGGGCATCCTGGCCTCCTTCCCATGCTGCTCCCAGCACGTTGGCGGCCAGGTGCTTATCTTCCTGACCAGAGACCAGAAGAGACTTCTCTGAGGAATCTGCCCAGCCTAAGGACATAAACCCAGAGATACTGACTTCAGGGGAACCTCAGGGAAACTGCCCATCCAGATCATTCTGCAGTGGAGAGACAGTCATGAAGCCCCACCTCTGCACACAGAGCTTGCCATCAGCTTTTTAGTGTTCTACTTTTAAATATAAGCAGACAACGAAATACCACTGTTCCCTTGAGGAAAGGAGCTAACATTAAAGATACACGAGAACAAATGGAAAAAAGAAACGTGTAAGAAACAGACTATAGAGCAGCAAGAAAAAAAACTTAAAAAAACGATCACAAGTATCTTCAGAGGGATCAAAATAGATATTACATCCATAAAGCAAGTATAGAAGCCTATAAGAAGGAACCTTTGAGAATGACAAAGAGCTTATTAATCATAAAAAATTATAATAGAACTGAAAGATTTGAGAGAAGGTTTGAGAGTAACAATTGAAGGAATTTCCCAGAAAGTAGATGATAAATTCAAAGAGATGGGAAATAATACAGAAAATATAAAAAAGTTAAATGACAGCCGGAGATTCCACACTCTAATAGTAAGAGTTCCAGGAAGAGGAAATGGGAATGCAGGTGGGAGGGATGAGGAAATCGACAAAAGAATTACTGAAGAAATCACTCCGAACTGAGAGACGTTAGTCTGAGTTTATAAGATTGAAAAGATCCATCGAGTGCCCAACCCTGTGGATAAAAATAGATGCAAATCAAGCACAGAAATGTAAAGTTTCAGGACGTGGAGAGAAAAATGCCTACGAGCTTCTAGAGAAAAAGCAGATTTCATACAAAAAAACCAGAATTAGAGCGGCAACACTGGAAACTAGAAGACAGTAAAGGCAGTGCCTTTTGAGCAAAAATATTTTCCAATTTAGAATTCTAAAACAGCCCAACAGTTAAATAAGAAGGAGGTAATATTACCAGACTTTTGAAGTTTTCAAAACAATTTATCTTCCATACACCCTTCCACAGGAGCTACTGGAGGATGTGCTCCTCCAGAACAAGGGAATAAACCAAGAAAGAAGAAGACGTGAGACCCAGGGAACAGGGGACCCAAGCGAAGGAAGGCCTAGCCGAGGGTGAAGGGGGACCCCACACAAGACCCTAGCTGTGCAGCAGGCTGAGAGGTCCAGGAGCCCAAGGCTGGAGCAGGTTTGAAGGCTCTGGAGAGACGTCTACACGAAGTTGAAATCGGAGAGTACCTTTTCCATTGCGACAGCACCAGAGGAGATGGATGCAGTTTAAAGTGAGTTTGGGAGTGGATTAGCAACAAGCATGTAGAAAATGAAGCAAATCAAGAAACAAGGCAATGATTAGCTCGAAGGAAAACAAAAATAATTGTGTTGGAAAGAAAAAAGAAATCCTAGCGGACTGTGTGGCTCAACTGTGAAGAGCTTTTATGTAGTCTTAGCAAGGCAGACTCCGAAAGTGCTTCATTCCAAATTAGAATCTAACTGTATTGTTAAAATGGGAGGGGAAAGGTGGCGGGAGGAGGGAAGGGATGGGTGTGGGAGACATGGGGCATCGGTGGGAGGGAAGCTCTTCATTGTGTGCCTTTTCACATTCGTTGGTGAACCACAGGCATGCTTTTCCTAAACCAAAACAGTTTTTTAATGATAATTACTTTATGATTTATTTTAATGAGAATTGTTTTCAACAACTGATTTCCATAAAAATGTGCTTTCTTCCCCTCTTTTTTTCTCTTCAGAAATTAAAACACAGAGCACGGGGTTGTTCACCTGATATCAGACAAATAGACCTTGATGTCAACCGCACATTTAGGGACCATATTATGTTTAGAGACAGATATGGTGTTAAGTAAGTAAACTTTAATGTTACGAAATGTAAATAGCATTTATAAAGAGTGTTTATTAAAGTCTTTGTTAACTTAAAACATGAGTGAGTAGAATGTCTTGTATGAACCATAATTTTGTTGCAGGTCCTAAAGGTTTAAGCTTTTGTAGATCGTTTGGCCCGTGTTGTGTGAAACGTAGGATCTAGGCTCCCTTAAATTTTTTAACCTTTGACGTAGTAGATGCTATTCGGTTGGTAAAGAGTCATTTTATGATCTGGGAATTCTTAAAAATGTAGTAGCTACTTTTATTAAAATCTTAGTAAAGAAATGGGAGATTGTGTTACTTTTTGAGAACCATGTCAGCGACAAATAGAGCCCTATAAACTTGACCCCAGTGCATAGCTGAAACTAAAACAAATGAGGAATGAATGACTGAAATGAGTATTACAGTTTATGAATGAGAGTTTTGCGGACCTCTGTATCGGCTGAGTTCAACAGGAGAAACAGAAACCAGTAAGAGATGTGTATTCAGTGATTTGTTGAGAGGAATTGGCTTGTAGTGGGGGCTGACTAGGCAGGTCCCTTATCTGGAGGGCAGGCCACAGCGGAGACAGCCCGGAACTCCTGAGCACAAGGGGAGCTGCTGTCCACAGGAAGAGCTTCTTCAGGGAGGCCTCACATTTGCTCTTAAAACCTTTCACCCGATTGAATCAGGCCCACCAAGATTATCTAGGATCATCTCCCCTACTTAAAGTCAACTGCTTATGGATTTTAATCACATCTGAAAAATGCCTTTTTTACAGCAACATGTAGATTAGCTTTTGAATAATTGGGGGTTGTAGCCTAGCCAAGGTGACACCAGTGGCGTACTGACCAGTAGAGTACATCCTTGTCAACTCAGTTTCCAAATACAAGTAATACAAGGTTATACTTCGCCTAACATGATAGAACTCTTTTGCTGAAAGAACTGGACTGAAACTAGTCTAACCCTTTCCCCACAAGAGGATGCGAAGTCCTTGGTGATGTTTACTCTTTTGCTTTGGCATTCTAAAACCTAAATACCGCAATATAAAATAAACTGTATAATATATCTGTCTAATATAGCTAATACATTAGATGAAAAGGGAAAAGGAAGAAGACAAAAATATTTTTAAATACATATATATAAACACATATACCAAAATAAGGAAGAAATGCTCAGAATTGTAATCTTTTTCTTTCTTTCTTTCTTTCTTTCTTTCTTTCTTTCTTTCTTTCTTTCTTTTTCTTTCTTTCAAGATTTTATATATTTATTTGAGAGAGAGAGGGCAGGAGAGAGAGCAAGCAGGGCGGGGGGGGAGGAGTGAAGGGAGAAGGAGAAGCAGGCTCCGTGCTGAGCAGGGAGCCCGATGTGGGGCTCGATCCCAAGACCCTGGGATCATGACCTGAGCCGAAGGCAGACACTTAACCGACTGAGCCACCCAGGCGCCCCTAGAGTCATCATTTCTGTGGCTGGGCACATAGTTATGGCTGGTTTCCACTACCCATTTCATATTCCCTTTGCTCTCCACAGGCATCTCAGCTGGTCATGGTTCTCAACCTGGTGGGGTGACCTAAATTTTAATTCTGGACCTTCAGCAGTCCTGCCTGAATTAGATTGCAGTAGTTTTCCATTGACTTTAATCACAAGGCTTGGCTCTCGTAAGAGACACCCTAAGTATTCTCCTGCATTCTAGTCCTGCTCTCCCTTACATCTGTTGTGTAGTAGCAACTCAGTTTCCCCTTAGTAATCAGGATTGATTGCTCCAACCAGTACTGTCACCTTCTTCTTTGCTTGTTGATTCAGAGACGAGGAGCCCAAAGTGGTTGGGTGGCAATCTCAACTTCTAGTCCAGTGGAATCATCGTGTGTCCTGCTGGAAACATTTCTCCCTTTGGAGCTAGGACTCCTAGACCAGCAGAGCTTAAGGCTGATGGGATGGGAAGCAAACAGTTTGCTAGTGGACTACTAGGGATGATAGTGGGTAGAGTCATCCCCCTTTCTGCCCCTTGAATCTTGGACCCCGGCGTCCTGGCTGCGGGAGAGAGAGCGCTAGATATTGGTGGCTGATTGAGAGCATATACGGCCTCCCAGAGGATGCCCCAGCCCTGCAAGGTATTGTACCTGGCCTGCACTGTAACCGAGGCTTCACAGGGCCTCCATAGTTCTGTCAGGCTGGCTGCTCCTATGCGGATGATTTTATAGTGAGAATAGTTGCCCTCCTTTGTGAAGCCATTTTTGTTTTTTGGTATACATTCTATCAGAATGAATGTCAGGGACACCTGGGTGGCTCAGTGGTCAAGCGTCTGACTCTTGATTTTGGCTTGGGGCATGGTATTGGGGTCATGAGATCGAGCCCCTCAGAGGGCTCTGTGCTGGGTGTGGAGCCTGCTTGAGATTCTCTCTCTCCCTCTGCTCCTCCACCCCCCCTTTAAAAAAAAAAAAAAAAAAGAACGAATGTCATCTAGCCTTAAATTTAGACCGTACAGAGTATTTGTTTACATTTGAGCTTGGGATCATTTCTTTATTACAGTAGTACTTTTGTCTGGATTATCTATTTTCAGGCAAACTTTCTTTTTTTTGTTTATAATTTAAAAATATGTGAAATAACCAAAATATATTCAATATAAACTTTCTTTTCTCCAGGCAACAGTCCCTATTCCATGTTCTTGCTGCATATTCTATTTATAACACGGTAAGTCGGAGGGAGCATACCCACTCAGGGCTCTTTGAGTTGTATTCTAAGGAACAGGAGGAACTCTTTGGGCACCCCCTGCCTCTGTGGATCTTTTCGAGGCTTCTCTGGTGACCTTGGGATCTTAGAACAGAGCTGATTCAGAAGTGGGAAAAACTACTTTATGCCAGGGAATCTCTCATTTTCCCCTCTTTCTCTGGGATTGTTCTGTTGTGGTGGTGTTTGTCTTGTTTTTATTTTACATTTGTGCTGAGAATGAGCAGGGATAGAAGTTTAGGAATTTGGTGGGCAGATGAGTTTTTGCTCAACCCTTGCTCACCCTTCATCACCCCTGGGAGTTTGCGTTTCAAGGTCACATTTTGTTTACTCAGCGAGGGCCAAATGGGAGACCATGTGTACCTACTTGCTAACCCTAGGAGTAGGCTAGAAGTAAATTTTTTGGTAATAGAACATGTTGTTCTTAACATATCTATCACTCAGTGGGGAGATGATTATTTGGGGAAAGATCAGTTAGTGTTGAACCTAACGTGGATGTTAAATGCTTACTGACTAGGTTCTAGAGAGGACAACCTTGAACCTTGGGTGTGTAATTTCTCTTAAAACCTTTAAGTTACAAGAAATATCAAACTAGGGCAAGTTAAAAAAGGAGTTTATTAAAGGCCTTTTTGTAGAAAGCAAACAAAAGTTGGCCTCATGGAAATTGGAGCTGGAAAGTGAGAAGCCTTCACTGAGAAAGAGCTACTACACTTTCTATCTCTTCTACTCTGTGGCCACACGGTAAATGATTATCTCTGTAAACTGCTTGTTCTGCTGTTTCTCTCTCCAGATTGCTTTCTTTGCCTACTTCTCAGTTTTCCCATGGCTAAAATTGCACCCACAGACTCAACATGACCATTCTGTTTAAATGCATCTCACCATCTGATTACAGATATCCTGGAGAGAGTATGTGATTAGTCAGTGCAGCCAATTAACTCTTCCCCTGGGGTCAAGTGACTTCTTCTGCTCCATCAGCTTTGGTTTATATGGCACAAACATGAACCTCTAAGGCCATATTACTAGCAGGGAATATGGGGAGAGTAGGCAGTTCTCAGAGAAGGGACACAGACTGGCTGGGTATCCCAAAATGTGTCTCTGTAAGGGCCGGGAAATCTAGAGGAGACAAGACAGCAACTTGGGAACTGTTACAAGGAGAGGAACTTGCCAGCATTTGAACAAAGAGGAGGGATGTTGAACTGAGAATAATATATACAAAGGAAAAAGAAACTATTAGTTCTCTTTACAGAAGGTATATGGTATTGAATAGGGGACAATAAAAATACATGTAGCTTGACGCTTGGCCCATGCTTCTACATTTATTTTTGAATACAGATTTATTCTTTTATACTATATAGCTCAGTGTTGTAAAACTGTGGTCTTTATCTGTAGAATTGTCCATTATTTCATGTGTCTAAGCATTTTCTGATTATTTTGTTGGGCAGGTTTTTATATGTGCATATGCATGTAATTGGATCTTAAAATCCCCAGTTTCTTTGTTCTCATTTATCTTCAGGAAGTTGGATACTGTCAGGGGATGAGCCAGATCACAGCTTTGCTCCTTATGTATATGAATGAAGAAGATGCCTTCTGGGCCCTGGTCAAACTATTCTCAGGCCCCAAACATGCCATGCATGGTAAGAAAACCCATATAGTTCACCAAAAACAATAAACAAGGAAGGCAGAAAAAGATAAATTAAAGTCAAACTTTGAAAGTTGTTTCGTAGGGTTAAGTACAAAAACTTAATGTCTGGGGCTGTTCAGTCAATTAGTGTTTGTGAGTCATTTCTTATTTCCTCCTTTATTGAACTTTGCTAAATTTCTGTTCACATTTATATTCCTTTATGTTTACCTCAAGGTACACTGTTGGCATTTTGAGATTCCTTCCTTACTTGCCCCCAGTCAGAAGAAACTCATTTAGGTTTGGAGGAATTTAGGAAAGCTATATTAATGGGAGAAATAAAAGATGCCTTTGACTAAAACTTTTAGACTGTCATGCAGTTTTCATTTCAGTGAAATGCGTGTTTTGGTTCTTTTAGCCATAAAATTGATTCCATTTTACAATAAAAGGCTGCTGTAACATGTTGTGGGTACTTCATTATTTAATATCTCAAAACTTGCATGAACGTTTGGTTTACAAGTTAGGAGGTTGTTCTTAATAACCTTTCCCTTATATCTGCCAAGCGTATACAAGAAACTTTAGAGTTTGGATTGCATCTTCTTTTGGAAATAAAAGTGGCATTTGCCCATTTAATGCAAAATTATTTTCCCAGTGCCATCCATGTGATAAGACCAAATTAAAAACAAATTTTTAACATGAATTACTTGAAGAATAGATCATCTAAGTTCCTTTTGTGAGTAAACTTTATGTGGTGAGGGACCTGCCACATGTTTAAAGTGATATTTTAACATTTTCAAAATTATGACTATAGTTTATTAATTCTCACATTCTTACCATGTGGTTTTGGGGTGGTTTTTTGTGGGGGGCATGTGTGTCCGTGCGCATGCACGCATATTTGGCCATCTCCCTCACTTTTCCTTGTGAATATTTTTTAAATGAATACTACTACTAATGATAACTGTTTCTGGACACTTTGCATCCCATCAGTAGACTCCAAAAGTAAGACACAGTATATCGAACTGCCATCCAACAGTATCTTTTGAAAAGGCATCTTGAAGAAAAATAACTCTCCCTCATCCACCTTTATTTTGATTTACCATGGAATAAATGGTGTTGCTGATCTGTGTTGAAGTACAAAGGGATGTCACAGTTTCAGTAGTACGTAATTACATGGAAAACTGCCCAAGTCTAGGAAAGTCATTTCTTTTGAACACACCTGATAAGCTTACGTTTGGCAGTTGTCACCAGTCTGGTCTATAAAGTAATATTAATTTTACTATCCTAATATTTACATTTACTGTGCAGTTTAGGTCATTATTTTGGATAAGTTAGTATTTAGAGATATTTGTAAGTCTGCCTATGGAATTTTATCACTGAGGGTTGCCTCAGTTCTTTGCATCTCTTACATGATAGTGATGTCACTTATAAATGTACAGAATAAAGTGAGGGCTGAAGAAAATGAGATTTTAAAATATCAAGTCTGGGATATCACTAACAAGTGAAGTAATGTTAGCTATCTTAGCATCCTTGAGCTAGTGTTTATTACTGAGGGAGGGGCATTGCCTTTTTTAAAATGAGACTTTTTCTTGAAATTCTTCTAATTCCCATTCCTATCAAATTGACCATCAAAGTGGCACAGATAGATACATAATATATATTTTTTTATGACATCAGAAAATGTTACTATGGGAGGAATAGAATATCTCTGGAAATTTTTACACATAAGTATGTTCCTTGGGTTCTTGGAGGAATGCAGTTTCACTTTTTGGAAGCAGGTGTTTTGTGGGGAGAAAAAATGGGACTCTAAGATCAAATAAGTCTGGCAGAGTGAGTTAATCAAGCAAACAAAGTTTCTTTAATTTATAAAGCATGTTAGAAAGATTGAGAAGCCCTTATGCATCATGAATATGCCAGAAAGGTTTGTGGAGCACACAGTACTTCCCCTAGATTCTTTTTAAAAAACATAGGACATCTATTAACATCTTTCAAAATTACATAAAACCCCATTGGACATAACTAATGTGGAGAAATGTTAAATCTGTTGAGTGTATAACCTTTTTTAATGGATCGTGTAGAATATCTGAAAGGAAACTTGTAAATGAAAATAGATGTAAAGTTCCATGAGTTAGATACACAAAATCAGTACTAACTTAACATTTACAATTAGTTACTTCCTAGAAATCTTAGAGATTCTGTTGTATAATGAGATGGGATAAACTCTAGTTTCTGATAACAACATTGATCATTAGTGTCATTATGTCTTAGCTGATGTCAGATATCACAGAAGGGATTAAAAAGTGATTAAAGCCTTGGAAGCACGATACTAATGAAGTTTTCAGAGTAAGCCTGAAAACAACAAAATGTTTGTTATGTAGCAAATTGACAATAAAACAAAATAAGTCCTCAAGATTAGAATAACTTATAAGAAATTTGCACATTTAAGATATGCTTTAAGATACTTGAAGAGAACAGACAATCCTGGTAAATGGCTTCAGTTTTCATTTTTTTCTTGGTTTCTAAGTTTCCCTTTTAATTCAGAAATATTCTGTCCTCTTTTATATTTTTACAAGGTTATAGGAGATCTTTACCAAACAAGTACTAGATTGCAAATTTCATTGCCCAAAGCTTACACACAATTATTTCCTTGGTGGGGAGGACAAGTATCTTAATAACTACTGGATTTTTGTTGTTGCTGACAGTTAAAAATGAAAGAAGTGTGTTGCATTTTGAAAGGGGTTTTTGTTGCTATTGTTTACGAAATACTCTTTTTATGTTTGTATTCTAGGCTTTTTTGTTCAAGGTTTTCCTAAACTCTTGAGGTTTCAAGAACATCATGAAAAAATACTGAATAAATTTCTATCCAAGCTTAAGCAACACTTGGTAGGTAGATGTGACATTGACTTAACACCCGCTTACACCAAGAATAAACCTGGAAGAACTGAGTGCAACCTTTGGGCCCAATTGCTTTATTGATTTGTGGTGTTGTCCATTTCATTTACTATGCATTTGTAATTCCCAGGTGTTCGAAGAGCATGAGATTTGTGGAATTTAGTATTGATGAACCATCACAGCCCGAACTCATAAAATCAAACCACTTCTTTGCAGATGATATATACAAATGGTGCAGTGTTTAACGATATGTGATTTCTCAGTAATTTTGGAGGCCTTTTTATTGCACCAAAAATACTTTAAGGGTCATACAAACTCTGTCCTTGGTGAACCATAGACATGTTCTACTATGAAACATGATAATTTGGTGAAGCAGAGATACTTCACTGTAAAATGTATTATAGAGAATCAAAATGTTATATTACAATCCTATAGAAGAAGGATTTATTCTTAAGGTGATTTGCAAAAGTGAGATTGAGGGAGAAAGAAAGTAAGGAGAAAAAACTGGAGACACTCCTGGTGTTTAGGAGCGCACGCTCTGCGTGGAGCACTGGGTGCTACGCAAACAATGAACCACGGACACCACGTCAAACACTAGGGATGTACTGTGTGGTGACGAACATAACAAAAAATTAAAAAAAAAAACCTAGAAATACCCCAGCTTGCAGAAGATTTGGAATGAGATGGTTTTATGTTTAGCTTTGACAGCTACCTCCAACAGCTTTCCCAACTTTTAGTATTAGGTTGTCATATTTTATTTGCTGCAATCCAGAAATTTGAAGTCTTTGTTTTTTTCAGGATTCTCAAGAAATCTACACAAGTTTTTACACAATGAAATGGTTTTTTCAATGTTTCCTTGATCGTGTGAGTATTTCTTTACAAAACCCAATCATAAAATTATAAATACCAGACAAGAGTGAGCTGTTAATCTTATCTTGTTTTGTTTTTAATTATAGACTCCTTTTACACTAAACCTCAGAATATGGGATATCTACATCTTTGAAGGAGAACGAGTTCTTACCGCTATGTCTTACACAATCTTAAAATTACACAAAAGTAAGAAAATGTTTGAGTATAAAGATTTCACAAAGATCAAGGCTTGATTTAACTCTGATTTCTCATTCCTCAGCCAACTTCAGATTCATTTTCTTTTAGTGGTGGATTTAAAAAATTCTTGAAAGTCAGTGAAGAAATCATGTTCAGTTGGTAATTGGCTTCCATCACTTCTTTCTCATGGCTAGAAGCTGATTACATTGCAGAGGTCTTTGATTTTTTTTTTCTCTATTTCAGTTTAATTTTCCCATTTAAGCAGTAGGATGCAATGTGGTGGTTTCACTAATAATATTATTCTTACTAAGTATTTGTTTCCTTATTCCTAATACTGCTTTTCATCAGTCTGAATTTCTGGTTTGTAATCAGAGAAGAGAGAGACCAAAGAAACCAGGCCCTTAGTTCAGAAGTCTGGTGAAGACATTTTCCAGCACTGTTTCCTCCATCCAGGCAAAAGCGCCCATCTCCAAGCTGTAGACCAGAGATGGGCACCTCTTCCTGCTCATCTCTCTGCTTGACTGCATTGTGGCCTCTGGGGCAAGTACAGTCACTTGTTGGGTAAATGCAATATTCCGTTGCAGTACTTCAAGGGCTCTATACATTTGGCATGTGGTGTCTTACTTTAAAAATCAAGAAATGAGAGTTTTCTTCTTGAATGTGAAGAACCTTATTCATCTTAAAGTCTCAGTTCAGTCTTTAAAATTACAACTCCTAGTCCGTCGTCTTGTCACTCTGCAGAGAGGAGAATCATTGAAAGCTTTAGAACTTCACAGAGCACTTGGAGTCTAGGTCTTACAACGTAGTTCACATTCACTGATCATTCTCCTCCCTTAGGTTATTCTTGAATGATTCTTCTGTTTAGCTTCCCAACTAAATTATAAGCTAATTGAGTACTCGGTCACGTTTTGTGAGGTTTTTTTTTTTTTCCCTGCTGTGCTTGACGTTGCTCGAAGTACATGTTAGGTATTTTAATATAAAATTGTTTGATTGCTTACTTGAAAAGCAGGCCTTTGGATTGTCCAAACTTTAGAGAGAAATGAAAACTCCCTGTAAAATCAAGTCTGTATTAAAGATAAGGATTCAGAAGTGCTGTGGTTCATTTCCCTTACACCCAATCCTCACTCCTCCAGCATGCAAACCACAGCATCCAGAGAACTGTCTCCCAAGACGCACAACCTGTCTGAAAACCACAGGAGCTCTGTCTCTGTCTCTCCCCCACCTAACCAGCTCCCCCCACCCCGCTCCTCTTTTCCCCTCCTCTTCCTGCCTTTCCTTTCTTTCTGGATTATGAACTGACCAAGATGTGGAACAAAAGTATACTTTTTATTAAAATATGTGCGTATTGGTTTAATGTTCACTGAACAGCAAGAAAGTGGAAACATGATGTTGTATTTCTCCATAGCTCTGTTCTCTGTCTTAAATTATGTTGTAGTTATATGAGCCTTGATTAATTTTGGCAAGTGAAAAGTTTCTTCACCCTTTGCAAATAAACTTTAAAGCATAATACCTGCTTTATATCCTATCATATCATCACACTAGATAGCTGTTGGAAAAAATGTGTCTACTGCTATGGAGTTTTTTCTCAGTTAGAAAAGCTCAAGGACTTACATGAAGTTTCTTCACCACCATATGAAGCTTTGAGAACTCAGGGCACCTTAACCAAGAGTTTAGCTAAAGCTCCTAAGATTTTGTTGTTTTTTTCCCGATTGTTTTAACAATATTTAGAGATATTGTTATGGGAGGTTTATCACACACTGGTTTTAAATAGTAAAAAAAAAAAAAAATAGTAATAACCTAAATGTCCAGTATTAGAAGACTGATTAAGTGAATTATAGTACATTATAGTATATCCGATGGACTCAAAGTATAATCAGTTTTTTAAATTGATACGTGTGGTACATACATCTACTCGTAGGGCAGTGGCTAGTAGGATTGTAGCTGATTTTTGCTTTCTACTTTGTATCTGTAACTGAAATTTTTTTTTAATTTTATTTATTTTTTTAAAGATTTTATTTATTTATTTGAGAGAGAGAGAATGAGAGAGAGAGAGCACGAGAGGGAAGAGGGTCAGAGGGAGAAGCAGACTCCCCGCTGAGCTGGGAGCCCTATGTGGGACTCGATCCCGGGACTCCAGGATCATGACCTGAGCCGAAGGCAGTCGCTTAACCAGCTGAGCCACCCAGGCACCCTCTTTTTATTTTTTTAAGATATAATTTATTTATTTGACAGAGAGCACAAGTAGGCAGAGTGGTGTGCAGAGGGAGAGGGAGAAGCAGGCTCTCGCCTGAGCAGAGAGCCTGATGTGGGGCTCAAATCCAGGACCCTGGGATCCTGACCTGAGCCGAAGGCAGATGCTTAACCGACTGAGCCACCCAGGCGCCCCTGTAATCTGAATTTTTTAAAATAAAACTAATTTCATAAGTAGAAATACAAATAAAGTTAGTAGTCAGATTTTTTGGAAATTGTGAAACTGTAAATATAGAGACTTGAAATAGGTTTGCCTGTGGGAGGTGGAGTTCTATAACAGTAAAACAGAAAGCCCTCATGTCATCTTGGGTGGCCTGTGTCTCTAAGAAGTGCTTGCTCTGGGTCAGTATTAATGTCTAAGGTGTGATGTTCTTAAATAAACCCATGAAAAGGTATTTAGCAGTAATCACCTCTCCCTGTCTCCCCAAAGAGTAGATGTGACTGCTTGGGTATCAGAAAATACCTTTATCTTATTGAGTATCAGTGATGCTTACAGTGCTGTGTATAAGTTGTATGATGTGCCCTTTTTTAAAAATACTGCACCAGAATAGAATACGTTACCGTCTCAACCGGAGTAACTGTTGACTCAGCATTTGTATTTCTCTGATTTGTTCTTAGAACATCTAATGAAATTGTCTATGGAAGAACTTGTAGAATTTCTTCAGGAGACCCTGGCAAAGGACTTTTTCTTTGAAGATGACTTTGTAATAGAGCAACTTCAGATTTCTATGGTGGAACTAAAGCGTGCAAAATTAGACCTTCCAGAACCTGGTAAGAAATATTCAAACACTTTCTATATAAGTCATAATTAAAGTTGGGAAATGGCGCAGTGAACACAGGCCATTTCTGTTTCAGAACATAAGCATTATGTGTACTTGTGATGGCAAGCTGTTTATGGCTTTGTGCTTATTTTAAGAAAAAGCAAATAAACGCATTAATGAAATCTGCCTCTCCTAATAGAATAACTGTACTATCCCTGCTTAAACTTAGAATGTTTGGATGGCAAATACTGATCAAGAGAAGTAATCATGGTGCTTTAAATGAGCATAAACAATAACCTTTACTTTCAGCATCTCATTTTGTAAAACCATAAGGAATAGCAGAGAAAATAAAAGATCCATTTTATAGAAGAGGACCCAGATGCTGAAATGCTTTTGTCTGAAGCTACAGAACCAGCAGATGGCGTTACTGACACTGCAGTCCGAGCTTTCTGACTGCTGATCCAGGGCTCTTGGCAGTATGTCGCAGTGTAGATAATATATTTTATTCGCTTGTTTCAAAACCTCTTCCAGCGCCTCCTAGTAGATTTTCTGTGAGGTGCTGGGCAGGAGATTCAGCAACTGAAGAGAAAGACATGCTTCTTGTCTCAAGGTGCACACAGGAGAGACAGAATTTATATAACTGCTAACAAATGAAGTGTAAGTAAATAGGATAAATGGGGGAAGGATCAAAGGAAGGGTCGGATGAAAGGGAATAAAAAAGAAAATGTGGAAATATCGCAGCAGGAATAACTTAAAGTTTTGACCTGATATTACTTGACAAGAAATGGTTTCCTGAGAAAAAGTCATTTTTCGCCGATTTCCTTTCTTGTCTTTGTTCCAAGCCAATCCAGCTGTGATGCCCTCAGGTAGAGTTGGAGGTAGCATTTCCCGGTCAGTGTGACACATATTTTGATGTCTTCTTGAAGATGTCTGTACAGAAAAACAAGCAGACATATGTTCATGGAAAGCACATCTTTTCCCCTTTGGTAAAAACCAAGATGCTCTGCTTTTAGTTACTTCATTTTGAGGGGTCTAATTGGTGTTCCTCCGAGTTCGTTCTGGGTCATCAAGATTCACTAGAAAACAAACTGTCACAGTTTGATGGTGGTCAGAGGCCTTGTGCAGCATCACCCTTGCTAAGTGAGGACACCCCTCTTGTGTTCAGTGTACTAATGTCTGTTCCCCGCTGATTCTTTACCGTAGCAGGGAGCACCTGTGGAACAGCAGTGACTAAGTATTCGTGCCACTTTAACATTTATTTCAAAATATCTTGCCTTTTTTTTTTCAAAAGAGTCAACATATGTCTCAGTAAAAGACATACAGAGAGAAAATATATATATAATAGAACTATTTAGACATGAGAATAAAATATTGCAGAATAGGATGATTTAGCATCTAACTAGCAGCTATTATTTTTTGAATACTTAGGATGGGCCACAGGCTACATGCTTTATCTCATTTAATCCTTAAAAATAGCTCAGAAAAAGTACTCACCCGCCTTTTACACATGAATAAACTTAGTAGTATATAAGATCTTTTTACTAGGAGGTGGTAGAATGGGGATGGAGAGGAGAGTGCGGATAAAGGGAGAGGAAAAGATAAATAACACCAGGCACGTTGGCTAAAGCTTACCCTGATCGTACTGATAAAGTGCCGGGTGGTGAGGTAGTTCTGCACTTTCTAGGACAATAATCTGTCTCTCATCTGTATTTTTACTACTACTACATTTACTTTCTGGGCTTTGTGCTCTGCAGCCTGCCCAGTGTTATCCTCTTTAAATTACTGCAAACTATATATGGAACATTAAGATAATTAAGTGGTCATTGTAGTAAGAAATTTTAACATCCTATCATCTTAAAAACACCCATGAGCATGTTATTTCGTTGTGGCTCCTTTTGAGCTGCCTCAGTTTGCAGTTTGTTTTCCCAGACCCACAGAACACATGGTATTTTAAATTGTTAATTTTTTTTTTCTGGTTGGATAGAGTTTTCCATTGTTTTGATTCACATTTCTTTAATTTTGATTGAGTGTCTGTCTTTTCATTGGGCATTTTAATTTCTTTTTCTGTAAACTTCCCTGTTCATCCTCTGCCCATTTTTCTCTTGCTGTATTTATGCACGTTCTTCCTAAGTAAAGGAAATTGGCCAGTTTATCATATGTGTTATAGATACTTTTCATATAGAATTCTTAAAAATTTAATCCCTTTATGGCATCTCACTTCTGTGTCTTAGGTAAAGAATTTTCCACATGCTGAATGAAAAATTTTTGGTTGCCCACATTTTCTCTGCAACGTTTTTGTTTTTATTTTTTTATGCTTAAATCTTTAGCCCATCTAGAATTACTTTTGGTTTAAGGGAAGAGTTTTAAGGGTGTGTCTTTAATTTCCACAAATTTGTGAATTTTCCAATTTTACTTCTGTTGATTGACTTCTAACTTCATCCTGTTGTGGTCAGAAAAGATGCTTTGTAGAACATCTGTCTTTCAAAATGTGTTGAGATTCAATTTGTGACTTAACATATGGTGTATCCTAGAAAATGTTTCATGTGCACTTGAGAAGAATGTGTATGCTGGGGGCACCTGGGTGGCTCAGTTGGTTAAGCGTCTGCCTTCGGCTCAGGTCATGATCCCGGGGTCCTGGGATCAAGCCCCGCATCGGGCTCCCTGCTCAGCGGGGAGCCTGCTTCTCCCTCTGCCTGCTTCCCCTGCTTGTGCTCTCTCCTCTCTCTTTCTCTTTGGCAAATAAATAAAGTCTTAAAAAAAAAAAAAGAATGTGTATGCTGTAGTTGTTGGGTAGGGAGTTCCGTAAATGTATGTTAGAGCCAGTTGGTTTATTGTGTTGTTTCCGCCCTCTGTGTCCTCATCTTCTGCCTGGTGGTTCTGTTACCGTGGGCCGGGCATCGAAGTTTCCAGCTATCATTGTTGCACTATTTCTCCCTTCAGTTCTGTCAGTTTGTCTGGCATATATTTTGATGGTCTATTATTAGGTGCACACATGTTTTCTGTTATTATATCTGCTTAAGATATAATGTTCTTTTTTGTCTCTTGTAACCTTTTTAAGATGTGTAGTCTGTTTTGTGTGATTTAGTATAGCTGCCCCTACTCCCTTTTGTTACTGTTCACTTGGAATGTCTTTTCCATCCTTTCACTGTCAATGTGTTGGTATCTTTTGATCTGAAGTGAGTCTCCTGAAGGTAACATATGGTTGGATCATGTGTCTTTTATCCATTCTGCCAATCTCTGTCTTTTGATTTAAGAGTTTAAACTGTTTACTTTTAAAGTAATTACTGATAAGGAAGGACTTCTGTCATTTTGCTATTTTTGTCCCTTATTTCCTGGATTACTATCTTTCCATTTGGTTGATTTTTTTACTGTGAAATGTTGAAATTACTTATTTTCTTCTCTGTATATTCCATAGCTGTGTGTGTGTGTGTGTGTGTGTGTTTAAAGGAGTTATATTTAACATCCTAAAGTTATAACTCTCTAATTCGGATTTGGATTAACTTCAATAACATATAAGAGCTCTGTTCCTTTACAGCTCCATCTCCAGCCCTTTCAGTTGTTGATTCCCCCAGATGACATCTTCATACAATCTGTGCCCAAAAACATAAACTAATAATTCTTTTATGATTCTTTTTTTTATTATTAACATGTGTTCGTTCAGGGGTACAGGTCTGTGATTCATCAGTCTTACACAATTCACAGTGCTCCCCACAACACATACCCTCCCCAGTGTCCATCACCCAGCCAGCCCATCCCTGCCACCCCCCTCCACTCCAGCAATAATCTTTTAAATGCATTAGTCTCTTAAATTATGGAGAAAACAAAATGTGGAGTTACAAACCGAAGTTACAACAATACTAGCTTTTAGACAAATAATTGTTTTTTTAAAAACTATTATTCTCTTAAATCATGTAGAAAAACAGAAAGTGGAGTTACAAATCATTGTTATAGTAGTAATAGCTTTTATAATTCCCCGTGTTTTCACCTGTACTCTGATCTTTATTTCTTTTTTTAATTTAAATTCAATTAGCCAACATATAATACATCATTAGTTTTTCAATGATTCATGAGTTGTATATGACAACCAGTGCTCATCACATCTTTATTTCTTTTTATGCCTTTGAATTTCTGTGTAATGTCCTTTCATTTCATACTGCACCCTTGAACATTTCTTTCAGGGCAGGTCTAGTTGTAACAGACTCCCTCCACTTTTGTTTATCTGGGAATGTCTTAATTTTTCCCTCACTTTTGAAGGACAGTTTTAACAGATATAGGATTCTTGGTTGATAGTTTTTTTTTTTTTCTTTTGAATGCTTTGAATATATTGGCTGACTTGTGGCCTCCAAAGTTTCTGATGAAAAATCTGCTTATAACCTTATGAGGATGAGGATACCTTTTATATGACAAGTTGCTTCTCTCTTACTGCTTTCAAGAGTCTGTCTTTTGAAAGTTTGACTATAATGTGTCTCAGTGAGGGTTTGAGTTCATTTTATTTGGAGTTCTTTAAACTTCTTGGATGTTTATATTCATGTCCTTAATCAAATTTGGGAAGTTTTCAGCCATTATTTTGTCAGATATTTTCTCTGCCCTGCCTCCCTCTCCTTCTGGGACTCCCATAATGCATACATCTGTCTGCTTGATGGTTTCCCTTAGGAAACCATAGTCCCTTAGGCTCTGTTCACTTTTCTTCCATCTTTCTTCTTTCTGTTCTTCAGATTTGATAATTTCCATTGTCCTGTCTAAAAGTTGGCTGCTTCTTTCTTCTACTGCTTAAATCTGCCTTTGAATGCTCTAGTGATTATTTAATTTCATTTATATTTTTCAGCTCCAGAATTTCTGCTCTCTTTTTATGTGTTCTCTTTATTCATGTTATCATTTTGCTCATACATGATTTTCTTAACTTTATCCACATCTTGTTCTTTGAGCTTCTTTAAGACACTTACTTTAAAGTTTTTGTCTAGTTTATCTACCATTGGTCTTTTTCAGGGACAGTGTCTGTTGATTTATTTT